TTTTTTTTTTTTGGTAGAGATAGAGTCCCACTTTATCACCCTTGGTAGAGTGCCGTGGCATCACACAGCTCACAGCAGCCTCCAACTCCTGGGCCTAGGTAGTTCTGCCTCAGGTTCCCGAGTAGCTGGGACCACAGGCGCCTGTCACAACGCCCGGCCATTTTTTGTTGCAGTTTGACCGGGGCCAGGTTTGAACCCACCACCTTTGGTATATGGGGCTGGCACCCTACCCACCGAGACACAGGCACTGCCCTCTGCTTTATGTATATTAACTTTTAAAAGTTTCAGAATATATATTGATATAATTGATCTTGAATTTATCTTTTTTGAAGGCCTGCAAAGAAAACAAAAAAAGGGGCTAAAGACAAAGTACAAGATGAAAAAAAAGATGACATAGAAAAAATAAAGTCATATTCTTACATGGAAGGGGAGCCTGAGGATGACGTATATTTAAAACGGTTATACCCAAGGCAGATATACGACGTGGAGAAAGCTATTCCCTTACTTAAGAAATTTCAGATTCTTGACTTTACTAATCCAAGCCAAGGTGTTTATCTTGATTTGACATTGGATATAGCACTGGGAAAGAAGGTATGTAGACTCAGTTAAAATAAGTTTATTTGTGAACAGTGACAATATGAATTAGTATTTCCTAATTTTTAAAATTTTTAGAAACTTTCATGTTCTTTTTGTACTTTAGTATGAAAAATGTTTGTTTTTTAATTTTCCAAATGTAAAATGTCATTTTGAAAATCCTGTGGAGAGTTGATAAATATATATCTCCTATTTCCTTAAAGTATCACTAGTATAAATGTCAACAAAAGCATTATTTAAATTAATTGAGGCATTACTATAATTTTGGAAAATGACATAAGCTGCCTGGGTGGCATGCTTCTTCTCTATAAATGAGGCTTTGGATTAGCTCATGGCCTTCAGATGTCTTCCTGGGAGTCCTAGGTTGAGACTAAATTTTCATGAATGGAGTTCCAAGCTCCTCTCTCGTGCTTCAATCAGAGCCTCTCTGCCCTTCGGAGGACACAGTAGTGCTTCAGAGCATAGGTTCTAGGGTCAGATACAGGCTAGAGTCCCACCTTCTTGTTTCTGTGTACCACACAGTGCAGTATTGCATGCATTTTCTCACTTAATTCTATAATAATTGTAGAAGAGGAAGCTGAGGCATAGAAAGCCAAGTGACTTGCTAGAAGGTCTCAGATTAGGGAGCAGAGTTAAGATTAAAACCAAGATGTATCTCATTTCCTGGTTCTCATTTATTAGAAATAGTTTATTATCAGCCATGTTAACATTTTTATTTTGTATTATAGTGTTACTGTTCTTTTATTTTAAAAATTTTGTGGTATTCAAAATGATCACATTCTTAATGGACTGTTCACGTAGTTGATCACAAGGTCTTGTAGGTCCACAAGCTTCATTTTATCATATACGGAAGCCCCTTGTAAATGAATGGCATTGGAAAGATAATTGTCTTCCTAAGGCATTTTTTTGTTTTTTTATAGAGTTGCTTGTACAACAAGCCAGTGTTCAGCAGGGGATGCTATTATCATGATTGCTTCCCATTGAAAAATTTACTAAAACTGGTCGAGACGTGTTAATGGCAAAGGAATGCCAGTCCATAACTAAGTTCATATCAAATGGGAACTAGCCTCATATAAAGTGTGCTTAAGAATTTACGCCTTCTTATCTGAAAAGAAATCCTCAGGAGGACTTCTCTACTCAAAATAAAGTTTTTCTAAAAATGTTAGTCTTTCAATTTTATTAGGGGACACTCCCTCTTCTCCTTCTTCCAAACCTTAAGGCTACTCCAAAGCTATGGTGGGCCTGGAACTTGTTCCCATGTGAAGTTGGAGAGTTCTGAGGCTCTGTTCTCTAGCTACGATCACCAAATGGATTATTTTTTTCTGAGACCCCATAGAGTCTCAGCCTATATTAGACTGCCTGAGATGCATGCACTTGTTTTGGGGGACTCTTCAGTTGACTTTCCAAATAAATCTGAAAGTGGTGGTGGTCCAGGTTGTTTCAAAATAGACCCACTCGGAAGAGCTATTTAGTCTTGGTGGTCTTAGATTTAGGGTTTCTAGTCCTGATTGTTTAAGATCCAATGATGGTAATTGGGGGTGACATACTAGGCGTATTAACTGTATTCTTGTATGGTAGAATTCAAACACTAAAACTTGTCAGTTCTAGTTTTGATAGAATATGAAAGGTATACACAAGATGAACTTTTCATAATTATTTTTCCTGTTGTTTATTTAGAAAAAAGTGGAACCATTTGCCAGTGTTATTAGGTTACCACACCCATTCTCTTCAGAAATCAATAAAGTTGCTGTATTTACAGGGGTGAGTAACTTTTGTTAACTATTTTTTTTTTTTTTTTTTGGAGACAAGAGTCTCAAGCTGTCGCGCTGGGTAGAGTGGTGTCACAGCTCACAGCGACCTCAAACTCTTGGGCTTAAGTGATTCCCTTGCCTCAGCCTCCCAAGTAGCTGGGACCACAAGCACCTGCCATAGTGCCTGGCTATTTTTTTTTTGCTGCAGTTGTCATTGTTTTAGCAGGCCCTGGCCGGGTTCGAACCCACCAGCCCTGGCGTATGTGGCCAGCGCCCTACCCACTGAGATGTAGGTGCCACTAACTTTTGTTAACTATTTATATTAATTTTTTGTAGAAATCACATTAATCAATGGTGAGAACCACTGAATAAATAGAGAAAATCTAGTCTTGTTTTCTCCATTTGGAGCTCAAAGCACTTAGATTATTTATTTAAAGTTATGTCACTAGTTTGAGAAAGAGCTTAGAACATTAATTTCATCATGACTAGCCCATCACACTGTTTCTCCCGTGACACCAAAGAGCAGTCTAGGATTTATCCTGGTAACTCCTTGTTGTTCTAACTTCCCTCCCTGAACATCAGTAGGATTACTGTAAAGCAGCAGGGCCACTCAGTGCTTTGTGCCTCAGAAACTACAACTTTTACAAATATCTAGTCTGAAAAGTCGAGAAGTCAAGTAGATTGCAAATCTAAGAGTACAGCCCTTTGTCATTCTTTTTGTATTATAAATGTCTGCTTGTAACACGTTTATGAATTTGTTTTATAATCACTGACAAACTGAATTTGTTTTGAATGTAGTATTTCGTAGTATTTGATGTTGATGTATTTTCAATTAAAATTAAAAACTACAATTTTTATTTTGAATTGTGATATTATTTCTCACAAAATACTTAAAAGTAGATGGAATATGTTTTAAATTAAAAACTATTGTGTTTTGGTAGAATGCAGAAGAGGTTAAAATAGCAGAAGAAAATGGATCTGCTTTTGCAGGAGGAACTGACCTGATTCAGAAGGTACAGTGTTTTTGTTTTCATTAGGTAGAGAGATCCTTCTCTTACCTTTGCCATCCATCGGTTTATTACATGAGGCACGTAACCACTGGGCTCATATCTCATGATACTTAGTAGGGCTTAAAAAGTTTTCCTACCGTTTTCAATTTCTAAATCATGCTAAGACTAAACTATCCAGGCAGTCTGATGTTGATTATACTTGAGATATATATTTTTTTGTATATTGATTTTGTTTTTTTACTTTATACTTGTTATAATTTTTTTTTCTTTTTTGTCTATGAGAGTTTTTGGGGGAGACTAGAAAGGGCAATATGACTCTGGTTTTGAATGAGAGATTTAAAATGAAAACGTGGCACACAATGATATGTTTATTGATGTTTTAAAGATCAAATATTTACTTTGCTTCTTAGAAGGAAAGTATGGTATGTGACCTGTATAATCTGGTGCTTTTGGTTCCTCCTAACTTTTACCCCTGGTCAGTTCAGAGAGGCATAGGCTCAGCAGAGCAATGAGAGTCATTCTGGGGCAGTGCCTGTGGCTCAGTGGGTAGGGCGTGGGCCCCACACATCAAGGGTTTATACCCGGCCCCAGCCAGCTCGAATAGCAGTGACAAATGAAACAAAAAACAGGCAGGTGTTGTGGCAGGCGCCTGTAGTCCCGGCTACTCTGGAGGCTGAAGCAAGAGAATCACCTAAGCCCAAGAGTTGGAGGTTGCTGTGAGTTGTGACACCAAGGCACTCTACCAAGGGTGACAAAGTGAGACTGTCTCTCAAAAAAAAAAAAAAGAAGAAGAAGTCATTATGTAGCCTGCTTTCAGAAAATAACAAAGAACTTGTGGGGCCTGTTTGAAAAGAAGAACAAAAACATTTTTAAGAGATTGGAAAAAGATGCATGGAACTATTTTTGAAAATACAAAAGATTTTCCTAATACTCTTCAAAAGCTTCTCTTCTAAATATAATCATTTGCTTTATGGAATTTTTGGAGGGGGAGGGAGAAAAGAAAAAGTGGCTTAGGTGGCGCCTGTGGCTCAGTGGGCAGGGCGCCAGCCCCATACACTGACGGTGGCAGGTTCGAGCCTGGCCCTGGCCAAACTGCAACAAAAAAATAGCCGGGCGTTCTGGCAGGCGCCTGTAGTTCCAGCTACTTGGAAGGCTGAGGCAAGAGAATCGCCTAACCCCAAAGGTGGAGGTTGCTGTGAGCTGTGATGTCACGGCACTCTACCGAGGGCAATAAAGTGAGACTTTGTCTCTAAAAAAAGTGGCTTGAAAATTTATCCTTTGTCTCATATTCATATTTTTGTCTGAGGAAATTTTAAGTGGGCTCATCCTTGGGGATATATAACAGTACGTGTTGTTATTTTGTCCCACCTTCAAAGTACTGTGAATTTGGGTGGGGATTCTGGATCCTGGATCCACATCTGAGTGCACAGGCTGATCATTCCTCCTGAGCTCTCAGTTTTCTTGTCTGTAATGTGTGGTCAGTATTAATACTTCATAGGGTGTTGTGAAGACTGGGTGAACTAAACCACGTGAAATATGTAGCAGAATACTTGGCACATGAGAAGTGCTCATGTGATGTAACCGTTATTTTAATTTAATTAAATTAATTAATTTATTTATTTTGCAGTTTGAACCCTCCACCTCCAGCATATGGGGCTGGCGCCCTATTCCTTTGAGCCACAGGCACTGCTCTCTTTATTTTATTTTGTTTTAAGACAGAGCCTCAAGCTGTCGCCCTGGGTATATAGCTTGCCGTGGCTTCACACCTCACAGCAACCTCCAACTCCTAGGCTTCAGCAATTCTCTTGCCTCAACCTCCCAAGTAGCTGGGACTACAGACGTCCACCGCAATGCCCGGCTATTTTTTGGTTGTAGTTGTCGTTGTTTGGCAGGCCTAGGCCAGATTTGAACCTGCCAGCTCTGGTGTATGTGGCTGGCGCCTTAGCTGCTTGAGCTACAGGCACCACCCTGTAACTGTTACTGTTGAGGAGAGCATGTTATTTGAGGAGTAAAGGATTTGTAAAAGGAAAGGACAGTAACAGGAAGATAAAATTCCATAATCACTGCTTAACCTTGCTGGAGTTCAGTTTTTTAGGGTTCACTCTAGCCCCAAACCAAGGCTTTGAATGGTACATTGTAAGATTTGATGCAAAAAGAATTATTGGTGAAATATTTGTTCCCAAGATAGTATCATTCTAAAAAGTTGCTTTATTTTATAATCAATACAATTTTTAAGTATATCATGCTAATATAATAATTATTTTGGGTGCTCGCCTGATTTAAACGTGTTTTCTAAAAATTGAATATGAATATTAATCCTTTTGCTCTGAGAATGGAAATAGAATGTGGATAATAAACTCTAAGTGAACTTGTCTTTGATCACTCCCCCTCCTCTTTTATTTTTAGTTATTGGTGACAAGGAGAATTTAAGTTCCAGTTCTTTGTGAAAATAATTATAGGTTCAGTTCTCTTGATGCTCTAAATTTAGGAAGCTACTGCTTGCTAGTGAGTTTGGCAGCTAGTGGTTATTAATTTCACATGTGTCCTACTGCAAAACATTTAGCTTTAATAGGTTTCTTTAGTTTAAGGACATACAAATTCAACTTTGTGGGATTGTATGCGCCATGTACATAGCGGTGCTATGTTCTAGTTTATAGCACTTTTGCCAAGCACAACCTCATGGAATAACTAAAACCATTAAGTATTTTTTTTTTTTTTAACAAAATGGATATATCTGTGTTTAAAAGAAAATGTGCTTCTGATGGTGTTCATAATTGATAAATGCATTCACATGATCCTTGTGTTTTAAGAAAGTAATTGTGCTTAATGTCTGTTTTCTGAATTATAAGGGAGTGACTACATTCTACTTCATTCTCAGAAGGATAAAGCTTTTCATCTAATTAAGATTATCTTCATTTTTCTTCCCTCATTTTCAGATTTTGGATGATGAAATTGATGTTGACTTTTATGTAGCTGTCCCAGAAATAATGCCTGAGCTTCACCCATTAAAGAAGAAACTGAAAAAAAGATTCCCAAGGCTTAGTCAAAGTGAGAATTTTTTTTTATTTCAATATACTATCAACAACTTTACAACTTTGTTCAGTGAGGAACCAAAGTTGTTAATATTTATGTGGAATCAGTATTGAAAATAATAAGTTCTGGGCTGGGTACAGTGGCCCTCATGCCTGTTCTCTGGGAGGCTGAGGTGGGTGGATTGCTTGAGCTCAGGAGTTTGAGAACAGCCTGAGAATTTAAGTTGAGCAAGAGTGAGTGGTGGGCACCTGTAGTTCCAGCTGCTTGGGAAGCTGAAGCAGGAGGATCCCTTGAGCCTAGGAATTTGAGGTTGCTGTAAGCTAGGCTAAGGCCACTGCATTGTAGCCTGAGCAATAGAGTCAGACTCTGTCTCAAAAAAAAAAAAATATATATATATATGTGTGTGTGTGTGTGTGTGTGAGATATATGTAGTCAACTATTTTAAATTGCACATGAACTTTATGGACACACTGTATCTATGTGTGTGTGTATAATGTGTATATATATATCCTGATTTGACTTTTGTTTTATATAAGAACATGTGGATTTGATCAGATACAATTTGAAAACCTAGTTACTTTGTAATAATGGTTCTTTACATTTAAATTATATTCTAGCTCCAAATTAGTAGACTGTATTATCTGTTACAAGGTATGTTTTATTAACTTTTGTGTTTCTTTATCAATTAATACATATTTATTTAAACATTTAATATGTATATGAATGCTGACTGTGTGCATGGCTCTGCAGGTATTTTCCCATAGTGAATTTTCTCCTTATAGATGTTTTCCCTTCAAGAAATTGCATAGATGGCTAGTGCCTATGACTCAACTGGCCAAGGCTCCAGCCACATACACCTGAGCTGGCGGGTTCGAATCCAGCCTGGGCCCGCCAAACAACAATGATAACTGCAACCAAAAAGTAGCTGGGCATCATGGCGGGTGCCTGTGGTCCCAGCTACTTGGGAGGCTGAGGCAAGAGAATCACTTACGCCCAGGAGTTGGAGGTTGCTGTGAGCGGTGATGTCATAGCACCCTACCAGGGCAACAGCTTGAGGCTCTGTCTCAAAAAAAGAAATTGCATAGAGAGAAAAGGTTGCTGTGTGAACAGCCATGTTATCAAGTGTGAAATATTATATAATAAATTCACAAGGTGCTATGAATGTTCATTGGGGGAGGAGTTTACATATAGGTGGGAAATCAAAAAAGCCATCATAAAGGAGCTGACCTTTAAATATAAATGAGGTGACTTTAATTGAATGAATCAAGTATGGGGAATATTTTGAGTATAAGGAATGTACTAATCATTGGAGTAAGTCAGAATTACAGGCCAAGTACAAGAAATATCAATTAGTTCTCTTTGGCTCTAGGGAATGGCACCCCTCTATTGAAACAGAAGAGAATAATGGGAAATGATGTTGGAAAGGTAGATTGATGCCGTCTTGAGAAGGACTTTGAATGATGGGCGATTAGGCATGGATTTTTATTGTGTGTTCAGAAGGAACCCTTAGAAGTTTTTGAAGTGGGGAGTGACATCTGTTCTTTAGAACTTTAATTTGTCAAGTGTTTGCAAGATGTATTGGCATGAATTGAAACTAGAGGCAGGGAGATCGGTTAGCATGGAATTACAAGAGACTGATGAAGGCGACATTTAAACCGAGGCCTTCGTACTGAGACTGGAGTGAGGAAGACAAATGTCGGAGATACTAGGACTTTGCACCTAAGTATTTAGGAATGGTGAGCTTCAGGGGGAACAAGGGAAGAATCAAACAATGCTGAGATTTTTAACTCTAGAGACCTTTCCTGGTAAGTGGTATCTCTGATGGATACATTTGGGAGTGAAAACAAGTTCACTTGGCAACACAGTTGGATTTTAGGTAGTGCTAGCTGTCTGGTATCGATGGGTATTATTTCCAATAAAATTTTGTAGTGTAAACAATAAATATTTAAAATTGGTTTTGGATTAATAGATTTGTCTTCAGATTTTAACTCTAGTTGAGCTAAAAAAATCCTGCTAAAATTTTTCATACATGCTAGCCACTGACACTTGTCTGGATTCTAAATCATGATCTGTTTAACTTAAATTCAGATGGATTTTCTGTTTCCTTTGTTGTACTAAAGTTTTGTTTGTTTTTGATAGCCTGAATCAAATCACACATCTTTATTAGATATTTGACTGAGGTTTGACACTTTTTATTAGTGATTTTCATTACAGTAGTGCATTTTGTCATGGAAACAGTTTATATTATTTCTTGGGTAAGACTTGAAACTGAACATTATTTTGGAAATTAAACCAGAGTCGCATTTAAGTGTGATGAAAATATTCTTCTGATTATTTTGTTTTTAATTAAATTCAAGTTCACATCAGAGCAAAACAAATAGTACTAAATATAGTCAAAACTGAAAATGACTGTGTTCCTCTAGCTCCTTCGTTTGCGTGGTGAATCGATTTCTCACAGGCCTTAACTTTGTCATCTCTACTGCTTTCTTCATTGTCTATGTAACACTATTTTTGGCTTCCATTTAACTTAGCCTTGAGGTTTTTCTTTAATTACCATTGTCATCACAAAATTTGGGACTATTGTGTTTAGTTTATAAATAACTTATTTCTTTATTTCAAGTAATAGAAGCGTCCTGTTAAAAAATGTTCATTTTATTTGTGGGCTTTACTTCATTTCTGCTTTCAGACCAAATCACAGCTTTGCATGTCATGACCAAGTGCCTAAGTGTGTTTCCCTCCTGTTTCCTTAACAAGGCACCTCAAAAAAAAGTTTTTCCCTTCTCTAACATTTTCTTTTCACCCCCACATGATCTGTTTAACAGTACTGGCAAGATATTTGTGTTCTTTACACATGAAGACGTGATTAGCTTGTCAAAAACGTTAAAACAGATACATCAGATGTGCATTAGAACAGATGAAGCTTGAATTGTGTGTTTTCAGAGTGCATTCAGATTCTTGCTTAAGAAGGTCTGATTCTCCCTATGTCCAAGAAAATCTTTTGGGTAAATTAGAAATTACTGTTGGAGCAAGTGGTTGAAATTAAAAAACAAACAGGGCCCTGCAGCTGACTGGTCAGGTCCCACTCTGCCACCGCTTCACTAATGGAGGGCATCTGCACATGTTTAAGGCTGTGGCTTTATGGGTTTTATTGTAATTGCTTACATAACTGTAGGCAAGTTTTCCATTTTTCAGATGCACATTGGGCTTGTTTACTCAGTATTTCTTATTAAAAACTTTTTAAAACTTTTTAAAATTTCTTAGAAGAAATTTTTCTTCATTTTGTTCATCATTTGGCTTCTCCCCACTCAATATAAGTGCCCCTTGAAATTCTTTCATCTCTAGTATAGGTATACTTTGCTGATTTAAAAAATTTTATTCCTAATCTTATTTATTATTCAGCATTTTCTAAATCAAAAATACTAGTACAAAAAATATCTTGACTTAGAATTAATTTTCTGTTAATGCATAGTAACCGATGGTAGGTTCCATAGCATGTATGGAAACAGTTGAATTCTTTTAAACCATACTAGGTTATTTGCAGGTAGATGAGAAAAAAAACATGATTTGTAAATTAAAATTATGCTAATATATAATCTTAGCATGTAGCTCTTAGAATTGAACACCAGTGCTCTAGTCAGAGTCTTGCTCAAGGACACTGCTTCTGTAAGGAAGTTGGTTGTTGAGACTTACGGATGCTGAAATTCTTATAACTTAACGTGGGGTATTTTTAACTCCTAGAATAACATGTACTTGAGACTGTTGTCTGCTTTATTGAAATGATCAGAACTCTTTGGGTTATATAAGGGGAAAAAATGGAGAATTTTCGGAAGGTAGTCAATTTGAAATTAAAAAACATTTCCTCCCTTCATGTATCAGTTTATAAACTGCCCATGTGCGAAAGAGTTTATAAATGATTAGGTACTGTTATAACTGTATTAATAGATGAATCGTACACTTCCCCTCTTTACACACACTGAGGGCTCTTTGGACCTTTGTCCCAGGTGTCTGTGATGCTCTTTCCCTGTGTGACTCGCTCACTTTCTCAGTAAAACATCACCTAGACAGAGACTGTCCATGACCATCCTTGATAAAGTATTAACCTCCACTTCCCGTTATCATAAGGTATCTCCTTATTATTCTCTTTTATTACCACTCTTGGTATATCTTATTTCTATTTGTGGGTGTATTTAGTTCCTCTCGTTAAATCCAGGGTGGTTCTGTTTTGTCCATTGCTATGTTCCCATTCCCATCCTATCCTATACTACATATTTGTAGCACGAACGTTTAATGCATTATTCAATTGGTAGGTGATACAGAGTTAAATGCTACAACTTAAAAGTGGACTATTTACAATTTAAAGATTTCTCTTGGATTAGAATAATTGTATTTGTGGTAATCATTTACTATGTGTGAAACCTTGGGTGTGATGGCTGTGAACAAGACAGACAAGGTCGTTGCCTTCATAGAAGTAATAGTTTTGTTTTCTGCAGTAGACAAACTGGTTTGACTTCAGCGTTTCATTATGCTCAGATGTCTCTAGTTAAACAAACAAAAAGCAAACCACAGCCTCTCTCTGCCCCCACCCTTCATTTGATTCCACTGTCCTTTATAGCTATGATCTTAGTTGTTTCTGTTGCGTTCCACCAAGATTGGCAGTCTATTTCCTTATTAAGTGTCACTCTGTCTTACAGCCTTTTCTTCCATAATTTAGCTAAATTGTTGCTCTCAATTATAATCACAGTTCTTTCTTTTGCTGGATTCAAAGGTTTGTTTTTAGTTTTCTCAGTTTCTGGAAGCTTTCTTTTATGTTTACAGTCCTAACTTGCCTCCTTTCTCATTATTCCTCCCCTGTCTTTCCTGTTAGAAGAAGAGCAGCGGTAGGTCAGGTGTTAACCCTGATCGTCTAGCCGAGTGTAGGTTGTATTCATAGAGGGAGAGAAGGGGAACAGAAGAGAGAAGAGAAAATAGAAGAGCATAAAACACAAGAAAGAGAAGGTAGAGGCGGGATGGCAAAG